AGTTTTCTGGACATAATTGAACAGTTGAGTCGATGATCAGTCCAGCAATCATCAGCTGCGAGCACAGCCTGAGTGATGTGGATATCTTGCCGAATTCGGGCATGGACAATGGCATAATCAATAAAGTGCCAGTGCTTAGATGGTGGATGTTGCCATGATGTTTTGTATTTTCTTTTCTAGCGGAACACGGTGTTGGCGACAATGAGTCCACGTTCCGTGCATTTAGTCAAGAGGAGGATGTCGTTGGAATTGACTTCTCCCACTCCTCCCTTGCTGATGGTTCCATTCCAGAGGCTTAAGTCCCTTCCAACTCTGGCATTAAAATCACCGAGAAGAACCAGTTTGTCTCCCAGCGGAACGGTCGTAAAGACCCGGTAAAGGTTGGCGTAAAATTCTTCCTTGGTTTCATCATCGGAGTCAAGAGTCGGGGCATATGCGCTGATGGCAGTGGCACTATTGGCTTCCCACCAGTTTGAGGCATAGTCACGAAGCGCTCACTGATTCTGATAAGTAACTCGTCAAGCTGATTGATGAGTTCACTCTTGATGGTGAAACCAACTCTGCGCAGCCTCCGTTGTTGTTCTTGCTGGCTGCCTTTCCAGAAGAGGGGAGCATAGCCACCTCCTGTTTCCTTGAGCTTTCCCTGCTCGCCGAGTCTCACTGAGGGCAGCCCCACGTCAATGTTGTGTCGTCTTGAGTTCCTGGGCCACGATTGCGGTGTGGCGTTCTGGGCATTCACTTTTAGGGTTGTCCATGAGGCTCCTGACATTCCAGGTCCCAAATTATATCGTCTGACTTAAATTTTTGTTTCCACCGCAGCAACGGTGGTCCCTCTGGACGCGGTCATCCAGTCGGGAAGCGCCGAGACAGATTTTGTTTAGGGAACATTTTCTCGCGCCCTTCCCCACGTGGGGTGAGCAAAGTGGATCCTAAAAAGGACTGTTCGGTCGCAATTGCAGCTGTCCAAATGCACTCTCGTCTCCGCCGAGTGTTGGACGACTGTCTTGTAGCTGCCGCCGCCACGCCAGTTTGTAGCTAGAAGCTTCAAGACTTCACAATCCTGTTCCAATCGTCACTAGCCGGATGCCCAAGGACTTGATTTGAACGTGCCGGAAGATGTTTGTCCCTTTCATGAAAGACGCCTGTGCACGATTTCTTTTATTGTGGAGAAGCGGTTGCAGAGCAGCCTCCACACAATTCTTGACGGAACGGGACCATGAATCCGATAGCAAGGAAACCAAGGACGATTGGGCATATCATTCTGCTGCAGCCTTCGTCCGGCTTCACAGCCGTTGAGATGTTCACATCTTCTTCCGCCGGCGCTGCCGTTGAGGACTTGTTAACCATAGCTGTGGGCTTATTGTAATGGCGGCCTATACTTGCCATGTCTCAGCAGCATCAACGGGTACATGTGGCGTTTCAAGAGGAAAAGCACTGCACTCTGGGGTCCTAACCACACCCTGGTGGTGCTATCGCTGTTTGGTCCACGACTGCGTATTCATCAGGCCCCTGCTTATTTAGCACATAATCTTCACGGAAGGTCGATCCACTATCCCGCTACCTGCGGACGCGCTGGGCAGCAGTGCAGCACCGCTGAGTAGTCGCCTGCCCGTGGTGCTGCCCCTGTCTCTCTGTGTGTAGGGAACACGCTGAGTAGTCACCTGCCCGTGGTGCTGCCCCTGTCTCTCTGTGTGTGTAGGGAACACGCTGAGTAGTCGCCTGCCCGTGGTGCTGCCCCTGTCTCTCTGTGTGTGTAGGGAACACGCTGAGTAGTCGCCTGCCCGTGGTGCTGCCCCTGTCTCTCTGTGTGTAGGGAACACGCTGAGTAGTCACCTGCCCGTGGTGGCTGCCCCTGTCTCTCTGTGTGTAGGGAACACGCTGAGTAGTCGCCTGCCCGTGGTGCTGCCCCTGTCTCTCTCTGTGTGTAGGGAACACGCTGAGTAGTCGCCTGCCCGTGGTGGCTGCCCCTGTCTCTCTGTGTGTAGGGAACACGCTGAGTAGTCGCCTGCCCGTGCTGCTGCCCCTGTCTCTCTCTGTGTGTAGGGAACACGCTGAGTAGTCGCCTGCCCGTGCTGCTGCCCCTGTCTCTCTGTGTGTGTGTAGGGAACACGCTGAGTAGTCGCCTGCCCGTGGTGGCTGCCCCTGTCTCTCTGTGTGTAGGGAACACGCTGAGTAGTCGCCTGCCCGTGCTGCTGCCCCTGTCTCTCTCTGTGTGTAGGGAACACGCTGAGTAGTCGCCTGCCCGTGCTGCTGCCCCTGTCTCTCTGTGTGTGTGTAGGGAACACGCTGAGTAGTCGCCTGCCCGTGGAGGCTGCCCCTGTCTCTCTGTGTGTGTGTAGGGAACACGCTGAGTGAGTCGCCTGCCTGTGCTGCTGCCCCTCTCTGTGTGTAGGGAACACGCTGAGTAGTCGCCTGCCCGTGCTGCTGTCTCTCTCTGTGTGTAGGGAACACGCTGAGTAGTCGCCTGCCCGTGCTGCTGTCCCTCTCTGTGTGTAGGGAACACGCTGAGTAGTCGCCTGCCCGTGCTGCTGTCCCTCTCTGTGTGTAGGGAACACGCTGAGTAGTCGCCTGCCTGTGCTGCTGCCCCTGTCTCTCTGTGTGTAGGGAACACGCTGAGTAGTCGCCTGTCTGTGCTGCTGTCTCTCTCTGTGTGTAGGGAACACGCTGAGTAGTCGCCTGCCTGTGCTGCTGTCTCTCTCTGTGTGTAGGGAACACGCTGAGTAGTCGCCTGCCCGTGCTGCTGTCTCTCTCTGTGTGTAGGGAACACGCTGAGTGAGTCGCCTGCCTGTGCTGCTGTCTCTCTCTGTGTGTAGGGAACACGCTGAGTAGTCGCCTGCCCGTGCTGCTGTCTCTCTCTGTGTGTAGGGAACACGCTGAGTGAGTCGCCTGCCCGTGCTGCTGTCTCTCTCTGTGTGTAGGGAACACGCTGAGTAGTCGCCTGCCCGTGGTGCTGCCCCTGTCTCTCTGTGTGTAGGGAACACGCTGAGTAGTCACCTGCCCGTGGTGCTGCCCCTGTCTCTCTGTGTGTGTAGGGAACACGCTGAGTAGTCGCCTGCCCGTGGTGCTGCCCCTGTCTCTCTGTGTGTGTAGGGAACACGCTGAGTAGTCGCCTGCCCGTGGTGCTGCCCCTGTCTCTCTGTGTGTAGGGAACACGCTGAGTAGTCACCTGCCCGTGGTGGCTGCCCCTGTCTCTCTGTGTGTAGGGAACACGCTGAGTAGTCGCCTGCCCGTGGTGCTGCCCCTGTCTCTCTCTGTGTGTAGGGAACACGCTGAGTAGTCGCCTGCCCGTGGTGGCTGCCCCTGTCTCTCTGTGTGTAGGGAACACGCTGAGTAGTCGCCTGCCCGTGCTGCTGCCCCTGTCTCTCTCTGTGTGTAGGGAACACGCTGAGTAGTCGCCTGCCCGTGCTGCTGCCCCTGTCTCTCTGTGTGTGTGTAGGGAACACGCTGAGTAGTCGCCTGCCCGTGGTGGCTGCCCCTGTCTCTCTGTGTGTAGGGAACACGCTGAGTAGTCGCCTGCCCGTGCTGCTGCCCCTGTCTCTCTCTGTGTGTAGGGAACACGCTGAGTAGTCGCCTGCCCGTGCTGCTGCCCCTGTCTCTCTGTGTGTGTGTAGGGAACACGCTGAGTAGTCGCCTGCCCGTGGAGGCTGCCCCTGTCTCTCTGTGTGTGTGTAGGGAACACGCTGAGTGAGTCGCCTGCCTGTGCTGCTGCCCCTCTCTGTGTGTAGGGAACACGCTGAGTAGTCGCCTGCCCGTGCTGCTGTCTCTCTCTGTGTGTAGGGAACACGCTGAGTAGTCGCCTGCCCGTGCTGCTGTCCCTCTCTGTGTGTAGGGAACACGCTGAGTAGTCGCCTGCCCGTGCTGCTGTCCCTCTCTGTGTGTAGGGAACACGCTGAGTAGTCGCCTGCCTGTGCTGCTGCCCCTGTCTCTCTGTGTGTAGGGAACACGCTGAGTAGTCGCCTGTCTGTGCTGCTGTCTCTCTCTGTGTGTAGGGAACACGCTGAGTAGTCGCCTGCCCGTGCTGCTGTCTCTCTCTGTGTGTAGGGAACACGCTGAGTGAGTCGCCTGCCTGTGCTGCTGTCTCTCTCTGTGTGTAGGGAACACGCTGAGTAGTCGCCTGCCTGTGCTGCTGTCTCTCTCTGTGTGTAGGGAACACGCTGAGTAGTCGCCTGCCCGTGCTGCTGTCTCTCTCTGTGTGTAGGGAACACGCTGAGTGAGTCGCCTGCCTGTGCTGCTGTCTCTCTCTGTGTGTAGGGAACACGCTGAGTAGTCGCCTGCCCGTGCTGCTGTCTCTCTCTGTGTGTAGGGAACACGCTGAGTGAGTCGCCTGCCCGTGCTGCTGTCTCTCTCTGTGTGTAGGGAACACGCTGAGTAGTCGCCTGCCAGTGCTGCTGTCCCTCTCTGTGTGTAGGGAACACGCTGAGTAGTCGCCTGCCCGTGCTGCTGCCCCTCTCTGTGTGTAGGGAACACGCTGAATAGTCGCCTGCCCGTGCTGCTGTCTCTCTCTGTGTGTAGGGAACACGCTGAGTAGTCGCCTGCCCGTGCTGCTGTCCCTCTCTGTGTGTAGGGAACACGCTGAATAGTCGCCTGCCCGTGCTGCTGTCTCTCTCTGTGTGTAGGGAACACGCTGAGTAGTCGCCTGCCCGTGCTGTTGCCCCTCTCTGTGTGTAGGGAACACGCTGAGTAGTCGCCTGCCTGTGCTGCTGTCTCTCTCTGTGTGTAGGGAACACGCTGAGTAGTCGCCTGCCTGTGCTGCTGCCCCTGTGTCTCTCTGTGTGTAGGGAACACGCTGAGTAGTCGCCTGCCTGTGCTGCTGTCTCTCTCTGTGTGTAGGGAACACGCTGAGTGAGTCGCCTGCCTGTGCTGCTGCCCCTGTGTCTCTCTGTGTGTAGGGAACACGCTGAGTAGTCGCCTGCCTGTGCTGTTGCCCCTCTCTGTGTGTAGGGAACACGCTGAGTGAGTCGCCTGCCTGTGCTGCTGCCCCTGTGTCTCTCTGTGTGTAGGGAACACGCTGAGTAACCTGCCCATGGTGGCTGCCCCTCTTCTCTCCGCGCCATTCTGCGCTCGAGCCCACGTGGAGTGGAGATACCTGTTGGCGCTTGTGGGGATCTCAGGTACCCACAGAGACACGGGAAGGACACAGAGAGACATGGGGGGGGGGGGGGGGCAGACAAAGACACGACGTTGGTGACAATGGTGATGATGTTATGACGATGACGGTGATGATGTTGTAACGATGATGGTGAAGGATGTTGTGATGATGGTGATGATGTTCTGTTGCTGTAGTGGTCGGGATCGGCTCGTGGTTTTTCCACATGACCCTTCTGTACGAGATGCAGGTGAGACTCGCTCACCTATACACTCACCCATTCACCCGCTCAGATTCACTTACTCATTCACCTATTCACTCACCTATTCATTTACCCACTCATTCACTTTCTCATACGCACTCTCACCTATTCACTCACCTTTGCATACACTCACCTTTGCATTCACTCCCTCACAGTCATGCACTCTCTCACCTATTCACTCACCTATTCATTTACCTACCCATTCACTAGCTCAGAGTTCCAGATCCGACGCGCGGATAGCCAACATCGCGGATGGCCGGTTCGTGACTAACGAGACAATATAATATCAGTGTTTATTTGGTGTCTGACCATCTTAACGCCTCCTCTATGTATGCCAGAGCGGGTGAAGCCACGTTATTTTTGTATCGTTCATTGCATCTGTTAGTTGTGCACAAAGCAGAAGAAGCAGCAGCATCATCATTGTCCGTGTAGAGATACCGCCTTGCTGTGAAAGAGCCAACGGCAGAAATATGTCTGGGGTTTGATCTTCACTGAGGCTGCTCATTCTAGATTTGAAGTTTTCAGGACTGCAGGGATCCATACTCTTTGGTTCTTTCGGTAAAGTCACGTAGGTAGAAAATACAATTAATTAAATGACGACATTTCGATAGCAACACAAGCAATCATCAGGTGGGAAAACCACATCAAAAACATTTCTTGCTGTGGTTTTCCCACCTGGTGATGATTGCTTGTGTTGCCATCGAAACGTCGTGATTTATTTTATTTTATACCTACATGACTTTACCGAAAAAACCAAAGAGTATGAGGCTGCTCGTGGTCCACCCTAACCCACGCATCGTCCACTGCACAAACCACGACAGCAGCAGCAGATGCAGATGGGGATTCTAGATTCGCGATGTTGTATTTGACCCAGGTGAGAAGGCCCCGCTGAGCTGCTGTGTAGCGACCCGGCCCATCACAAATGCTAGCAGCTCGACCAAGTGGCTTATCGTCATTGTCCCGTGAACATGCATTGCAGCCAAATACTCTAAACGCATAGGGATACATAGAGACCCATAGATATGCATAGAGACACAGACATATAGAGATCCTTAGAGACAAGTGACCCATATAGACATACATAGTGACCCATAGTCATACATAGAGACACATAGATATGCATAGAGACAAAGACATATAGAGATCCTTAGAGACACAGTGACCCATATAGACATACATAGTGACCCATAGTCATACATAGAGACACATAGAAATACATAGAGACACATAGACATATAGAGATCCTTAGAGACACAGTGACCCATATAGACATACATAGTGACCCATAGTCATACATAGAGACACATAGAGATACATAGAGACACATAGACATATAGAGATCCTTCGAGACACAGTGACCCATAGACATACATAGTGACCCATAGACATACATAGATACCCATAGTCATTCCTAGAGAGACGGAGACCCATAAGCAAAAATATTTTGTATTTTACGAGGTAGTAAGGCCCCACTGAGCTGTGAGGCTCTTTCAGAAGCGACCTGGCCCATCGCAAATGATAGCAGCTCTACCAAGTCGCTTATCGTCATCGTCATCGTCATCCCGCGGGAACATTTCTAGGAGTAGCCAGATACTCTCAATCGAATGCACAAACGGGAAACTAAAAACGCTCCAGGAGTGGTGGTGATGCGACTGTGGCCATCCAGAACAGAGACCGTATGACACAGATTGACACATCGTAGGAGACTTTCGTGACCACAATGTTATCCTTGGTATAGGTGGTTTGTGGGTTAGATCGTGTTAATATAACATGTGTCGTCAAACCCTCCGCCACCCAACACGGCCGACGAGTAACGTTTGTCACGTAAACAAAAACGTGCAAACTAGTTACTAGCACAGCACTGACCGGTGTGTTGGAGAGTAAAACCACGACAGCATTTACAATTCGAGTACTGTGACGTTTCACCGGTAATTACAACAACCAGCCTCACCAGGCGAAATCCAGATGAGGCTGTCACTCTCCAACACACCGGTTAGTGCTGAATTATTAACGAATTGGCACGTTTTGTTTACGCGACAAACCTTACAAAAATTGGCGGTGGTGGGTGGTGGCAGGTTTAACGGCACATTTATATTTAGTCGATCTAACCCAAACACCTCTATTACCGTACATCGCGCAATTACGCCTGATCCACAAATACGACGGGTGATGTTCATGGTGATCATGATGTTCATGGTGATGTTCATGGTGATGTTCATGGTGATGTTCATGGTGATCATGATGTTCATGGTGATGTTCATGGTGATGTTCATGGTGATGTTCATGGTGATCATGATGTTCATGGTGATGTTCATGGTGATGTTCATGGTGATGTTCATGGTGATCATGATGTTCATGGTGATGTTCATGGTGATGTTCATGGTGATGTTCATGGTGATCATGATGTTCATGGTGATGTTCATGGTGATGATCATGATGTTCATGGTGATGTTCATGGTGATGTTCATGGTGATCATGATGTTCATGGTGATGTTCATGGTGATGTTCATGGTGATGTTCATGGTGATCATGATGTTCATGGTGATTCATGGTGATGTTCATGGTGTTCATGGTGATTCATGGTGATGTTCATGGTGATCATGATGTTCATGGTGATATTCATGGTGATATTCATGGTGATGTTCATGGTGATCATGATGTTCATGGTGATGTTCATGGTGATGTTCATGGTGATGTTCATGGTGATCATGATGTTCATGGTGATGTTCATGGTGATGTTCATGGTGATGTTCATGGTGATATTCATGGTGATGTTCATGGTGATCATGATGTTCATGGTGATATTCATGGTGATATTCATGGTGATGTTCATGGTGATCATGATGTTCATGGTGATGTTCATGGTGATGTTCATGGTGATCATGATGTTCATGGTGATATTCATGGTGATATTCATGGTGATGTTCATGGTGATCATGATGTTCATGGTGATGTTCATGGTGATATTCATGGTGATGTTCATGGTGATCATGATGTTCATGGTGATATTCATGGTGATATTCATGGTGATGTTCATGGTGATCATGATGTTCATGGTGATATTCATGGTGATGTTCATGGTGATGTTCATGGTGATCATGATGTTCATGGTGATATTCATGGTGATATTCATGGTGATGTTCATGGTGATCATGATGTTCATGGTGATATTCATGGTGATATTCATGGTGATGTTCATGGTGATCATGATGTTCATGGTGATATTCATGGTGATATTCATGGTGATGTTCATGGTGATCATGATGTTCATGGTGATATTCATGGTGATATTCATGGTGATGTTCATGGTGATCATGATGTTCATGGTGATATTCATGGTGATGTTCATGGTGATCATGATGTTCATGATTATGGTCATGGTGATGATGTTGATGATGTGAATGGTGATGTTGATGATGTTGATGTCGGTCATGTTCTCTTAGCTGCTGGATGAGCTACCCATGATCTACACATGCTGCGTCTTCGTGTACTGCCTGTGAGTACTGGATACACCGCACAAGCTGCACCGGAGCACTGTATATACTGTACAACCCACACACGGGGAACTGTACACACTGCACAAAGTGACCGCGGGGCACTGTACATACTGTACAAACTACAGCTGGATACTCTATACTGTACAAACTGCCTCTCGGTACTGTGCACTACCCGTGAGCATCGTATATACTGTACAACACTGTACGTGAGTACTGTACCAACATTGCTCTTGAAGACATGGGGGTGACGGTAATTTCAAATCCCAGTCTCGTGCTGCGCAAAATGGCGCTAACGACGATTATTATTGTTGATTGTTCGCCCACGTCATCGCACAAACATCGCGCAGAGGGACCGCAAGCGACCGGACATCGCGCCATGCTCCGTCAGGAGATCTGGTGTTCGTCATTGCCGCTATCGTCGTCGTCGTCATCGTTGGCGCGGGGGCATCGGTGGCATTGGCGGCCATTAGCATCGGCGTGTCTAAAACCCGCATCGACGATCCATTCATTCTGCAGCTCAGTTGGGAAAAATGACATCGCTGCTGTTTCTCTTTTCCACGAACTCGCGCCCAATCCGAGCGACAAGCACAAACAAAGAGAATGGCAAAAGCGGCGCAGTTGCAGCAGCCGCCACTGGCAGGCAATCGCTGCTTAGCAGACACACGGAGGAGGGAGGGGGAGGAGGAGGGAGGAAGGGGGAAGAAGGGGGAGGGAGGGGGAGGGGGTATGAGGGGGAGGTAGGGATGGAGGGAGGGGGGAGAGAGGGGGAGGGAGGGGAGGGAGGGGAGGAAGGAGGAGGAGCAAGTTGGAGGGAGGAGAAGGAGGAGGGAGGAGCAAGGAGGGAGGGGGAGGAGGAGGAGGTTGGAGGGAGGGAGGGAGAAGTTGGAGGGAGGGAGGAGACACAGGAGGAGGTTGTGGGAGTGCCGAGACACCTCGCCTGCAGACCCACCGCTGTAGATCTGCCGACTGACCATGTTGCCGAGCCGTCTGGCCAGGATTACTCCATACACGGCTCTTAGTTGTCAAAGAATGACATCGGCAGCCATGTTTTCGAGAGCAATGCCCAAAGAGCAGCGGCCTCACACCACGACGCCATTGCCACAACACAGTAACGCAACGGCCACAACACGTGCCTCCCCCCAACCACTGCACTCTGAGTCGGCTCGCGACCCCCGCCTCCCCCTGTGCCTCCGTGGCGCATCGTGAAGGGTTCCACTGCACTCTGACCACCCATCAACCGATCAACCTGGGGTCTGTGCACGGCTCTCGCGACGTTCTTCACCAATTTAAAGCGTGAAGATCGAGGCGGTGGTTTCTCACTTGAGGGAGGCAACGGCATTCTCCCGGCCTGCTCTCTGAGTTTTTATCAACCTGGGGCCCGGATGCGACGTCGGTTGCAGGAGGCGGGGCGTCGATGTTCATCGCCACGGCTGCCAAATGAAGACGCCGCCACTCGACCGCATCCACGCTGTCCATTCTGATTGTCCACGTGGCAAAATCTTTAGTTGAGCGAGGGGTTTGCTTCCCCCAGACCTGTGTCGAAATGGAGGAGTTAACACTGCTCCCGAAAAAAAGTTGCCCTGAGTCAATGTAAATATACATATAGTGAGACCCCACCAACTATCGTCCCCAATCTCAAACCTGAGTACGACATCAGTGGTCACGGAGCGCCTGCGTCTGAAGCGGTCGCTACGTCCCCACATTGCTGCAATGGTCAGATTCAACTCCATTTCAGTCTGTACCAGAGGTGCCCCAAGCACTAAGACAGCTCTACTGAAGATCACCGGTGACCTCTACAAAATCACCGATGACCTCTACAAGATTACGAATGACTTCTGCAAAGTCACAGATGACTTCTAGAAAATCACAGATGACCTTTAGAAGATCATTGATGACCTCTACAAGATCACTGACTACCTCTACAAGATCACGGATGACTTCTACAAGATCACGAATGACTTCTACAAGATCACAAATGACTTCTGCAAAGTCACCGATAATCTCTACAACATCACCAATGACCTCAAAAAATGACCGATGACCTATACAAGATTACCGATGACCTGTACAAGATTACCGATGATCTCTACAACATCACCGATGACTTCTACAAGATCACCACTGACATATACAAGATCACCTATGATCTCTACAAAATTACCGATAACCTATACAGTGAGGGAAAAAAGTATTTGATCCCCTGCTGATTTTGTACGTTTGCCCACTGACAAAGAAATGATCAGTCTATAATTTTAATGGTAGCTGTATTTGAACAGTGACAGACAGAATAACAACAACAAAATCCGGAAAAACGCATGTCAAAAATGTTATAAATTGATTGCATTTTAATGAAGGAAATAAGTATTTGACCCTCTGCAAAACATAACTTAGTACTTGGTAGTAAAACCCTTGTTGACAATCACAGAGGTCAGACGTTTTTTGTAGTTGGCCACCAGGTTTGCACACATCTCAGGAGGGATTTTGTCCCACTCCTCTTTGCAGATCTTCTCCAAGGCATTAAGGTTTCGAGGCTGACGTTTGGCAACTCGAACCTTCAGCTCTCTCCACAGATTTTCTATGGGATTAAGGTCTGGAGACTGGCTAGGCCACTCCAGGACCTTAATGTGCTTCTTCTTGAGCCACTCCTTTGTTGCCTTGGCCGTGTGTTTTGGGTCATTGTCATTCTGGAATACCCATCCATGACCCATTTTCAATGCCCTGGCTGAGGGAAGGAGGTTCTCACCCAAGATTTGACGGTACATGGCCCCGTTCATCGTCCCTTTGATGTGGTGAAGTTGTTCTGTCCCCTTAGCAGAAAAACACCCCCAAAGCATAATGTTTCCACCTCCATGTTTGACGGTGGGGATGGTGTTCTTGGGGTCATAAGCAGCATTCCTCCTCTTCCAAACACGGCGAGTTGAGTTGATGCCAAAGAGCTCCATTTTGGTCTCATTTGACCGCAACACTTTCACCCAGTTGTCCTCTGAATCATTCAGATGTTCATTGGCAAACTTCAGACGGGCATGTATATGTGCTTTCTTGAGAAGGGGGACCTTGCGGGTGCTGCAGGATTTCAGTCCTTCACGGCGTAGAGTGTTACCAACTGTTTTCTTGGTGACTATGGCCCCAGCTGCCCTGAGATCATTGACAAGATCCTCCCGTGTAGTTCTGGGCTGATTCCTCACCGTTCTCATGATCATTGCAACTCCACGAGGTGAGATCTTGCATGGAGCCCCAGGCTGAGGGAGATTGATAGTTCTTTTGTGTTTCTTCCATTTGCGAAATAATCGCACCAACTGTTGTCACCTTCTCACCAAGCTGCTTGGCGATGGTCTTATAGCCCATCCCAGCCTTGTGTAGGTCTACAATTTTGTCCCTGACATCCTTGAAGAGCTCTTTGGTCTTGGCCATGGTGGAGAGTTTGGAATCTGATTGATTTCTTCTGTCAACAGGTGTCTTTTATACAGGTAACAAAGCTTTGATTAGGAGCACTCCCTTTAAGAGTGTGCTCCTAATCTCAGCTCGTTACCTGTATAAAAGACACCTGGGAGCCAGAAATCTTTCTGATTGAGAGGGGGTCAAATACGGATTTCCCTCATTAAAATGCAAATCAATAAAAAAAAAATTGACGTGCGTTTTTCTGGATTTTTGTTGTTGTTATTCTGTCTCTCACTGTTCAAATAAACCTACCATTAAAATTATAGACTGATCATTTCTTTGTCAGTGGGCAAACGTACAAAATCAGCAGGGGATCAAATACTTTTTTCTCTCATTGTACAAGATCACCTATGATCTCTACAACATCACCGATGACCTATACAAGATCACCTATGATCTCTACAACATCACCGATGATCTCTACAAGATCACCACTGACCCTATACAAGATTACCGATGATCTCTACAACATCACCGATGACTTCTACAAGATCACCGCTGACCTTTACAAGATTACCGATGATCTCTACAACATCACGGATGACTTCTACAAGATCACTGATGACCACTAGAAGATCACTAATGACCTCCACCACATTACGGATGACCTCTACAAGATCACCGATGACCTCTGACCTCTACAACATCACGGATGACCTCTACATCACAGATGACTGGTGTACTGTGTACTCTGCCTGTGAGTGCTTGATGATGATGATGTTGATGTTGTTGATATTGTTGATCATGATGTTGTTGATGTTGCAGGTTTCTCAGCTTTGAGAAGCCAAACTTCATGAATGTTCCGTTCATCCTCACTCTGGTGGCATTCAGCTGCCTCGTCACAGGGGTGAGGGCATCACTAACATCAACATCACTAACATCAACATCATTAACATAAACATCACTAACATCAATATCAGCACCATCAACACCGCCATCCACATCACGAACATCGCCATCAATATTGGCATCAACATCGCCATCACCATCAACAACATCACCATTGACATCGCCATCAACATTGCCATCAACATCGCCATCAATTTTACCATCAGTATCGCCATCAATATCACCATCGGCATCACCATAAAAATTACCATCAATATTGCCCTCAACATCACCATCAACATCACCATCAACATCGCCGTCACTTTCCAGCTTCAGCAGCAGGCGCATCTTACAGATGACAAGTCGATGGTCAGTGGGCAGATCAGCTCCACGGTAGGTCCTGTTATCAAGGACATGGGCTTACATCCGCTGTTTCGTCACTATGTAGTCCAGCAGATGTTCCTGCTTGGACCCGGCATGCATCCATGATGTTGTGTGGATGCGCCGATGCCGAAACAGTGTGTTGGTAATTACAAGCCAATGGGCTGCACAGAAGTTTAGCAGCCTCGTAGCATTGTGTTTGAGCTGATCTGGCCCATGCCTTCCAATCACTCCAGACCAGGTGCCAGCATCAGAACCTGCTCGGGCATTAAAGTCACCCAACAGGATGACTCTATCCTAAGGGGCGTAAGCTACCACTACCACTCCTCGCCTCTGGTTGATGGGAAGGTAAGCCCACAGTAGCCTGGGGCTTACAGCTTCCCACAAATCACCGCCATGCTTCCACACCCCTTCATTATATTGTTCAGAAGAAGAGCCACTCCTATTGTTTGGCAGTCTCCTGCCCCAAGTCGAGGACTGTCCACCCCTCATCTGACTGGAGCCAGAGCCCGTCCACTGGACCCCCCTGTATTCCACACATAGATTCAGGCAGTACCGGTCCAGCTCCTGAAGAGGAGTGGCGACCTCTCCTCCACACTGAGCGTTTGGACATTCCACGTGGCCACCCACCGTGGTTTCCTGCTGTCTCTGGAAGAATCCCGAGGGGAGGGGTATAGTCTGGCTCCACCAAATGGGGTTTGGCCAGAAGATGCTTGTCCCATACATACGTACATATGTACGTCCACTCAGGGAATCCGGGACAAGCTTATTATAGTATGTTCACCGTGATTAATTGGTAAGGTGATTCTAAAATGGCGGGGTTACCAGCCCTTTGCATACTGTAATGGAGACATGCATACACACAAATTAACACAGTGACACATAGCCACACGCAGAGACACACAGGCAATCTCTTTGAAACACTTAACAGCAATTGAAACACCACACATACTTCTACAGACGTATACATTACTCACCTCACCCTAACTGACATAAATTAACTTAACACTTAGACACCGCCACCTCCTCAGCTGCTTAAATATAACCACAAGACAAAGACAAGTGTTGTCATCACATCTACCCCTCTATTTAAGGAACGAAACAGGTGGACTTCTCCACAAATCTGGCTGTCGCCTGATGATGCTAGTTGTAATTGCTGGCGAAACGTCGTACTCAGATTGTAAATGTTGTGGCTTGGCTCTCCAACACACCGGTACGCTAGTAACGAATTGGCACGTTCTGTTTACGTGACAAACCTTACAAATTGGCTGTGTCGGGTGGTGGCGGGTTTAACGACACATTTATATTTTTAAGTGGTAGAATCCAAAATACCTGTATTGTGGATGATATTGGTCGCGAAAGCCTACTTGTTAAATATCCTTCGTAGCCGTAACTGTGCGGCAAGAGCTGTTAGCGAGCACCACTGCAGGCCGGCACGGCACACGAGGGGCTGGGTGGCCAGCACCACAGCAGTAGCGATGCTTACCCACTGCACCAGGTACTGATTTGGGACGTAGACGACCTAGGGGAGGCCCAGGATTCGCCACTGGGTTGATGGCCTTGAGCGGGAATCGAACTCGGGTCGCCGGGTTTGTGGTGGAGCGCGGCACTAATCCGCTGCCCTACATCACCACAGACACTCACCACACTCATTGTAACCAACTCTTGTTCAGAAGCGACCTGGCCATGACAAATGAGAGCTCAAACAAGTGACTGCTTATTATCATCATCGTCGTAGTGACGTGGGAATTTATAGCAGAAGCCAAACAACTCTAAAACACGTGGTGGAGACGTTGATTCTAAACATGGAGGGGAAAACCAGAGGACCCGGAGAAAAATCCACGCGACCATGGGGAAAGAGATGCAGACTCCAAATATACAGCAGCAGGCATCGTCAGGGTCGGGATCGAACCCACGACCTCCTGTAGACCAGGCGAGGTAGTTAACATCTCCTAGCCACCGTGATGATGAACGAGAAACGCAGACTCCAAATATACAGCAGCAGGCATCGTCAGGGTCAAGGATCGAACCCACGACCTCCTGTAGACTAGGCGAGGTAGTTAACATCTCCTAGCCACCGTGATGATGAACGAGAAACGCAGACTCCAAATATACAGCAGCAGGCATCGTCAGGGTCAAGGATCGAACCCACGACCTCCTGTAGACCAGGCGAGGTAGTTAACATCTCCTAGCCACCGTGATGATGAACGAGAAACGCAGACTCCAAATATACAGCAGCAGGCATCGTCAGGGTCAAGGATCGAACCCACGACCTCCTGTAGACCAGGCGAGGTAGCTAACATCTCCTAGCCACCGTGATGCCCCAAAACACACACTCATCGCTCACCACACTCACTCATCGCTCACCACACTCACTCATCGCTCACCACACTCACTCATCGCTCACCACTTACCTCACCACTCACGCAGCCGTCTGTGTCTCTGCAGATTTACCTCCTCTTGAAGGAGCCAGTGTTCCATCAGGTGAGGACGATCACACAGCTGATGGTGCACCTAGCCTGGCACTGGGGATAACACTGATTTTATTGATCTTGATGACTTCAAGGGTGATGTCCATGGTGCTAGTGTTGGTGATGTTAATGATTGCGGTGATGTTGCTGTAGTTCATGTTGATGGTGGTGATGTTGTTGATCATGATCCTGATGATGATGATGTTGTTGACATTGGCGATATTGATGGTGGTGGTGATGTTTCTGTAGGTCATGTTGATGGTGGTGATGCTGTTGGTGATGTAGTTGGTGGTGGTGGTGGTGATGTTCGTGGTGATGATGTTGGTGGTGATGTTGGTAGTGATAATGTTGATGATATTACTGTAGATGGTAATGTTGATGGTGGTGGTGATGTTGGTGATATTTGTGATCTTGATGGTCGTGATGTTGATGATGGTGTCGGTGGTGACGATGATGACGATATTGATAGTGGTGATGTTTATTTTGGTGATGTTGATGTTGTTGATATTGGTGATTTTGATGTGTGGTTATGTTGGTGAGCATGATCCTGGTGATGAAGTTGTTGATATTGGCGATATTGATGGTGGTGGTGATGTTAATGCTGGTTATGATGATCATGATGCTGATGTTAATGGTGATGTTTTCGGGTGAGCTGAGAGAAACGGGCGGCCCACTCCCAGTGTCCACGCGTAAGCAGGCTTCTCTTGGAGGTTCAGAGAGCCGTGCGGTTCTCTGAATTGGGTACACGGTCCAGACCTTCCTTCCCCACCTCCCCCCCTCCCGAGACCCTGGCTGATGGAGGAGGTGTTCCGGTTGACTGCGAAAGAGCGATAGGCTCACTCCCACCGTCTGCACCGCATCCCACGTCAAAAAATGAGGAGGCTTACCACAACCTTCGCTCGGAGGTTCGGAGAGCCGTGTGGCACTGCAAGGATGGGTGGTGGTCGCGGGTCGCTGAGGAGATGGAAAATACCTCGTTAGCCCACGATCACAAATCACTCTTTCATTCCATCACAAACGTAACTTGCAGCACCAAACTGATCAACATCCTTAAGGGAAAGAACGGTGATCCGATCTCCGACCCCTGAGGGGAAATCCCTCGGTTCAAAAGATACCATTGGACAGGGTGGGGATGACCCTGCCGGGGCTGCTGTGCCTCAAATATTGGAGGAAGTAGCCCCCCCATTATGAGTGGCTGGTTGGCATCCCATCTTCTGAGAAAGTACAAGGGGTGATCCAGAGTCTGAGACCATGAAAAGCGCCAGGCAGAGATGATTTCCCAAGCACAATGCTGAGGGAAGGTGGCATCTGTGTGCAGACTGCCCTACATGATATCATCACAACTGTCTGGACCACTGGACGGGTTCCACAGGATGGGAAGGATGCCCTGGTGGTCCCCCTCTTTAAGAAAGGGGACCGCACAGACTGTAACAACTACAGGGGCATCTCACTCCTCAGTGTGCCGGGTAAGGTCCTGGCAAGGATTATTCACCATCGCCTTGCCAGACACGCTGAGGAGAGGCTTGCGGAGCCCCAATGTGCTTTTATACTGAGGCGGTCCTGCACAGATGCCATATTCTCTGTTCGTCTGCTACAGCAGAGGTGTAGGGAATTCCCACAGGACCTACATCTCTGCTTTATTGACCTGGTCGTGACCTATGATACCATCAACAGGGCATGGATCTGGGTTGGTCTTCGTGCTTTCTAATTCCCTGACTCTCTGCTCACAATAATTAAGGACCTTCATGATGGTGGGCAGCCCTGGCTAAATCTACGTGGCCGGGAATCGGAGCCATTCCCTGTTCACCTTGGGATGTCCTCTGGCCACTACACTCTTTTATACATTTTCGACCAGTTAATTTGAGAAGCTTTCAATGGCTGTACGAGTAGAATTTCCATCTGGTACAGATACAATGGGAGACGGATTGATGCCTAGGTGCGGTCGAGGGATGGCTCCCAATTGGTCAACCATGTTGCGTATGCTAATGAGCTGGTGATTGCTGCTCACTCAGAAGAGGAGTTGGAGGCTCTGCTGCTGAACATGGAGCATGGCACTCAGAGGTGGGGTCTTACCGTCAGCACCACGAAAACGAAGCACCTGCTTGGGTATTTTATGTTATCAAACGCTCCACCCCCTCCACTCCTCATGAGTGATGGAGCAGTTGCAGAGAGAGTGGAGAGGTTTCCATACCTGAGCAGAATGCTTATGACCAGCTCCGGTTTGGCAGCAGAGGTCTCGCTGTGAATCAGCCGAGCGGCATTATCCTTTTCATCAGCTGCATAACTCTGTGTGGAAGCTACCTGGTCTGTCACTCCGCACAAAGCTTCGGATCATCTCGACCACAGTCATGCCCTCCCTTCTATATACTTGTGAAACGTGGATCTCTCTAATTGAACATCTGCGCCGGTTTGAAACATTTCGGCTGGTCTGCCTCCGATCCATCCTGGGTTTAACCAGGCTGGATTGTGTGAGGAACTCAAAAATCCTTGAAAGATCTGGACACAGTCTCATCAGTGAACTCCTCCGGCAAGCAAGGCTGCACTGGCTGGGTCATATAGCCTGCATCCCCAGCCACTACATGCCCAAGCAGCTTCTGTTTGGCTGGATAGAGGGGCCTAAACGGGCACCACATGGACTAAAGAGGAAATGGACTGATGCAGTACAGGAGGATGTGAGCTGAGTGGACTTGCTGATGACTGGTACCAGCGGTGTCAAAATCGGCCGAGGCTCGTAAAGGAGGCTCTTGGACAGTTGGAGGAAGTCGCCATCCAACAACAACAGAGAGCAGAGGAGCGACGCTAACAACAACGAGTGGAGCACTGGGCAAGCTAAAACACAGCAAGTTGCCACAGTAGGGGGCACAGGTGGTGGTTCATCTGCCAGTCATCTCAGTCAGCCAACCCATGACACCTGGGTCTGTCCCATGACCTCCTGTCAGCGAGCCTTCGAAACTTCACGTGGCCACAAAGTGCCCCTGGCCTGGCACAAGCGCCGTGGTGACTTCACCGCTATTTGGTGGCCAACAGTGGTGGTTTTTGTTTGATGTTGATGGGGGTGGTGATGAAGTTGCTGTAGGTGACGTTGCACTTGGTGATGTTGATGGTGGTGGCGATGCTGTAGGTGATGGGTGTTATGTTGATTGTGATGGTGGTGATGTTGCTGTACATTATCGTGGTTAAGTTGATTGCAATGTTGATGGTGGTGATGGTGATTTTGGTAAATGGTGATGGTGGTGATGATGTTGCTGTAGGTGATGGTGGTGAAGTTGATTGCGATGATGACATTGATGGTGATGTTGATGATGGTGACGATGTTGGTGTTGATGGTGATGGTGGCGATGTTGGTGTTGATGCTCATTGATGTTGATGATGGTGATGTTGATGGTGATCATGTTGCTGTAGGTGACTTTGCACTAGGTGATCATTGTGGTGATGTTGATGATGTTGATGATGTTGATGATGCTGCTGCTGCAGGTGATGTACGGGATGCTCGTCTGCTTCCTCGTCGTCCGTGGAGTCTACATCGCGTTCTGGTACCGAGTGCTCGTGATGCCTTTCGTGGTGGTGGTAGTGGTTGTTGTGGTTGTGGTGGGAGTGGTGTGGAGAGTCGGTTTAACACGGAGGCTTTCACGACCAGTATTATTCATAATAAAGGTTTTTGGGTTAGATTTTGTGTCATAACCCTCCACCACCCGACACGGCCACTCAGTAAAAAAAGTGTCACGTTGACAAAAGAGAAAATAGTTCACTACTTTAGCCCACCGGTGTGTTGAAGAGTGAATCCACAACATTTACAACTTGAGTATGGGGCAGTCCATAAATGACGTCACGCTATTTTGGACGATTTTTGACCCCCCCCCTTCCTTCGTCACACGACGTCACGAAAAGTCAGCCCCCCCCCCCCTCAAATATGACGTCACAAAAGCTCTGTCCCCCGCCCCCCCCCGTGACGTCACATTTATCAAACCCCCTACCCCCCCTTCATCACATATCGTCACAAATGTCTGACCCCAACCCCCCCCCCCCTAGGTGTGTGACGTCATTTATGGACGGCCCCTATGACGTTTCGCTGGAAATTACATCCAGCATCTTCGGCCGATCTGCACTTTTTCAAACCGGGAGCAAGTGGAGGGCTTCACGATTCGGGCAAATCGCCCGATGAAGCTGGATGTAATTTCCAGCGAAACGTCGTACTACTCAAGAATTGTAAATGTCGTGGATTCACTCTTCAACACACCGGCGGGCTAAAGTAGTGAACTATTTTGTCTTTTGTCAACGTGACACAAGTTTTTACTGATTGGCCGTGTCGGGTGGTGGAGGGTTGCGACACATTTATAAATAACGCGATCTAAGCCAAAAACCTTTATTATGGCGTGGAGAGTGGTTGTGGTTGCAGTGGTGTTGAGTGTGGTTGTGGTGGGAGTGGTGTTGATTGGTTGTGGTTGGAGCAGTCTTGGGTGGTTGTGGTGGGACTGGTTGTGGTTAGAGGGGTGTTGAGAGTGGTTGTGGTTAGAGTGGTGTTGGGTGGTTGTGGTTGGAGTGGTGTTGGGTGGTTGTGGTTGAAGTGGTGTTGGGTGGTTGTGGTTGGAGTGGTGTTGGGTGGTTGTGGTTGGAGTGGTGTTGGGTGGTTGTGGTTGGAGTGGTGTTGGGTGGTTGTGGTTGGAGTGGTGTTGGGTGGTTGTGGTTGGAGTGGTGTTGGGTGGTTGTGGTTGAAGTGGTGTTGGGTGGTTGTGGTTGGAGTGGTGTTGAGTGGTTGTGGTTGAAGTGGTGTTGGGTGGTTGTGGTTGGAGTGGTGTTGAGTGGTTGTGGTTGAAGTGGTGTTGGGTGGTTGTGGTTGGAGTGGTGTTGGGTGGTTGTGGTTGGAGTGGTGTTGGGTGGTTGTGGTTGGAGTGGTGTTGGGTGGTTGTGGTTGGAGTGGTGTTGGGTGGTTGTGGTTGGAGTGGTGTTGGGTGGTTGTGGTTGGAGTGGTGTTGGGTGGTTGGAGTGGTGTTGGGTGGTTGTGGTTGGAGTGGTGTTGGGTGGTTGTGGTTGGAGTGGTGTTGGGTGGTTGTGGTTGGAGTGGTGTTGGGTGGCTGTGGTGGTTCTATTGTTGCGCTTGACGGCGATGTGGTTCAGGAGCTCGATGCTCAATGTGGAGGTCCTGCAGCAGCTGCTGCTGCTGCTGTCTCTGCTGCTGCTGTCTCTGCTGCTGTCTCTGCTGCTGCTGTCTCTGCTGCTGCTGCTGTCTCTGCTGCTGCTGCTGTCTCTGCTGCTGCTGTCTCTGCTGCTGCTGTCTCTGCTGCTGCTGCTGTCTCTGCTGCTGCTGTCTCTGCTGCTGCTGTCTCTGCTGCTGCTGTCTCTGCTGCTGCTGCTGTCTCTGCTGCTGCTGTCTCTGCTGCTGCTGTCTGCTGCTGCTGCTGCTCTGCTGCTGCGGTCTCTGCTGCTGCTGTCTCTCTGCTGCTGCTGTCTCTCTGCTGCTGCTGTCTCTGCTGCTGCTGTCTCTGCTGCTGCTGCTGTCTCTCTGCTGCTGCTGTCTCTGCTGCTGCTGTTGCTGCTGCTGTCTCTGCTGCTGCTGTCTCTGCTGCTGTCTCTGCTGCTGCTGTCTCTGCTGCTGCTGCTGTCTCTGCTGCTGCTGTCTCTGCTGCTGCTGCTGTCTCTGCTGCTGCTGTCTCTCTGCTGCTGCTGTCTCTGCTGCTGCTGCTGTCTCTGCTGCTGCTGTCCTCTGCTGCTGCTGTCTCTCTGCTGCTGCTGTCTCTGCTGCTGCTGCTGCTGCTGCTGTCTCTGCTGTCTCTGCTGCTGCTGTCTCTGCTGCTGCTGTCTCTGCTGCTGTCTCTGCTGCTGCTGTCTCTGCTGCTGCTGTCTCTGCTGCTGCTGTCTCTGCTGCTGCTGTCTCTGCTGCTGCTGCTGTCTCTGCTGCTGTCTCTGCTGCTGCTGTCTCTGCTGCTGCTGCTGTCTCTGCTGCTGTCTCTGCTACTGCTGCTGTCTCTGCTACTGCTGCTGTCTCTGCTGCTGTCTCTGCTGCTGTCTCTGCTGCTGTCTCTGCTACTGCTGCTGTCTCTGCTGCTGCTGCTGTCTCTGCTGCTGTCTCTGCTGCTGTCTCTGCTGCTGTCTCTGCTGCTGCTGCTGTCTCTGCTGCTGTCTCTGCTACTGCTGCTGTCTCTGCTACTGCTGCTGTCTCTGCTGCTGCTGCTGTCCTCTGCTACTGCTGCTGCTGCTGGTGTCTCTGCTACTGCTGCTGCTGCTGATGTCTCTGCTACTGCTGCTGTCTCTGCTACTGCTGCTGTCTCTGCTACTGCTGCTGTCTCTGCTACTGCTGCTGCTGCTGATGTCTCTGCTGCTGCTGCTGTCCTCTGCTACTGCTGCTGTCTCTGCTACTGCTGCTGTCTCTGCTACTGCTGCTGCTGCTGATGTCTCTGCTACTGCTGCTGTCTCTGCTACTGCTGCTGTCTCTGCTACTGCTGCTGTCTCTGCTGCTGCTGCTGTCTCTGCTACTGCTGCTGCTGCTGGTGTCTCTGCTACTGCTGCTGCTGCTGATGTCTCTGCTACTGCTGCTGTCTCTGCTACTGCTGCTGTCTCTGCTACTGCTGCTGCTGCTGCTGTCTCTGCTACTGCTGCTGTCTCTGCTACTGCTGCTGTCTCTGCTGCTGCTGCTGTCTCTGCTACTGCTGCTGCTGCTGTCTCTGCTACTGCTGCTGTCTCTGCTGCTACTGCTGCTGTCTCTGCTGCTGCTGCTGTCTCTGCTACTGCTACTGCTGCTGTCTCTGCTACTGCTGTCTCTGCTACTGCTGCTGTCTCTGCTACTGCTGCTGTCTCTGCTACTGCTGCTGCTGCTGCTGCTGCTGTCTCTGCTACTGCTGCTGCTACTGCTGCTGCTGCTGTCTCTGCTGCTGCTGTCTCTGCTGCTGCTGCTGTCTCTGATACTGCTGCTGCTGCTGTCTCTGATACTGCTGCTGCTGCTGTCTCTGCTACTGCTGCTGTCTCTCTGCTACTGCTGCTGCTGCTGTCTCTGCTACTGCTGCTGTCTCTGCTACTGCTGCTGTCTCTGCTACTGCTGCTGCTGCTGTCTCTGCTGCTGCTGCTGTCTCTGCTACTGCTGCTGTCTCTGCTGCTGCTGTCTCTGCTACTGCTGCTGCTGCTGCTACTGCTACTGCTGCTACTGCTGCTGTCTCTGCTACTGCTGCTGTCTCTGCTACTGCTGCTGCTGCTGTCTCTGCTACTGCTGCTGTCTCTGCTACTGCTGCTGTCTCTGCTGCTGCTGTCTCTGCTACTTCTGCTGCTGCTGCTACTGCTGCTGTCTCTGCTACTGCTGCTGTCTCTGCTGCTGCTGTCTTGCTGCTGCTGCTGTCTCTGCTGCTGCTGTCTCTGCTACTGCTGCTGTCTCTGCTACTGCTGCTGCTGCTGTCTCTGCTGCTGCTGCTGCTGTCGATGCGACTGCTACTGCTGCTGCTGCTGTCTCTGCTACTGCTGCTGTCTCTGCTGTTGCTGTCTCTGCTACTGCTGCTGCTGCTGTCTCTGCTGCTGCTGCTGTCTCTGCTGCTGCTGCTGTCTTTGCTGCTGCTGCTTGCTGCTGCTACTGCTGCTGCTGCTGTCTCTGCTGCTGCTGCTGTCTCTGCTACTGCTACTGCTGCTGCTGCCCTCTCTGCTGCTGCTGCTGTCTCTGCTACTGCTGCTGTCTCTGCTACTGCTGCTGTCTCTGCTACTCTGCTGCTGCTGCTGTCTCTGCTACTGCTGCTGTCTCTGCTACTGCTGCTGTCTCTGCTGCTGCTGTCTCTGCTACTGCTGCTGCTGCTGCTGCTGTCTCTGCTACTGCTGCTGTCTCTGCTGCTGCTGCTGCTGCTGCTACTGCTGCTGCTACTGCTGCTGCTGCTACTGCTGCTGTCTCTGCTGCTGCTGCTGTCTCTGCTACTGCTGCTGTCTCTGCTACTGCTGCTGCTGCTGCTACTGCTGCTGCTGCTACTGCTGCTGCTGCTACTGCTGCTGCTGTCTCTGCTACTGCTGCTGCTGTCTCTGCTACTGCTGCTGTCTCTGCTGCTGTTGCTGCTGCTGCTACTGCTGCTGCTACTGCTGCTGTCTCTGCTGCTGTTGCTACTGCTGCTGCTGCTGCTGCTACTGCTGCTGTCTCTGCTGCTGTTGCTGCTGCTGCTGCTGTCTCTGCTACTGCTGCTGCTGTCTCTGTTACTGCTGCTGCTGCAGCTGCTGCTGTCTCTGCTACTGCTGCTGTTGCAGCTGTCTGTGCTGCTGCTGCTGTTGCTGTTGCTGCTGCTGCTGTCTCTGCTACTGCTGCTGTCTCTGCTGCTGCTGTTGCTGCTGCTGTCTCTGCTACTGCTGCTGTTGCTGCTGCTGTCTCTGCTACTGCTGCTGTTGCTGCTGCTGCTGTTTCTGCTGCTGCTGTCTCTGCTACTGCTGCTGTCTCTGCTGCTGCTGCTGTTGCTGCTGCTGCTGTCTATGCTACTGCTGCTGTCTCTGCTACTGCTGCTGTTTCTGCTACTGCTGCTGTTTCTGCTACTGCTGCTGTCTCTGCTACTGCTGCTGTTGCAGCTGTTGCTGTCTCTGCTACTGCTGCTGTTGCAGCTGTCTGTGCTGCTGCTGCTGTTGCTGCTGCTGTCTCTGCTACTGCTGCTGTCTCTGCTGCTGCTGTTGCTGCTGCTGCTGTCTCTGCTACTGCTGCTGTTGCTGCTGCTGCTGCTGTCTCTGCTACTGCTGCTGTCTCTGCTGCTGCTGCTGTTGCTGCTGCTGCTGTCTCTGCTACTGCTGCTGTCTCTGCTACTGCTGCTGTTTCTGCTACTGCTGCTGTCTCTGCTACTGCTGCTGGTGCAGCTGCTGCTGTCTCTGCTACTGCTGCTGTTGCTGCTGTTTCTGCTACTGCTGCTGTTGCAGCTGCTGCTATCTCTGCTACTGCTGCTGTCTCTGCTGCTGCTGTTGCTGCTGCTGCTGCTGTCTCTGCTACTGCTTGCTGTCTCTGCTACTGCTGCTGTCTCTGCTGCTGCTGTCTCTGCTACTGCTGCTGCTGCTACTGCTGCTGCTGCTGTCTCTGCTGCTGCTGTCTCTGCTACTGCTGCTGTCTCTGCTGCTGCTGCTGCTGCTGCTACTGCTGCTGCTGCTACTGCTGCTGCTGCTACTGCTGCTGTCTCTGCTACTGCTGCTGCTGTCTCTGCTACTGCTGCTGTCTCTGCTACTGCTGCTGCTGTCTCTGCTGCTGCTGTCTCTGCTACTGCTGCTGTCTCTGCTACTGCTGCTGCTGCTACTGCTGCTGTCTCTGCTGCTGCTGTCTCTGCTACTGTTGCTGTCTCTGCTACTGCTGCTGTCTCTGCTGCTGCTGCTGCTACTGCTGTCTCTGCTACTGCTGCTGTCTCTGCTACTGCTGCTGCTGTCTCTGCTGCTGCTGTCTCTGCTACTGCTGCTGTCTCTGCTGCTGCTGCTGTCTCTGCTACTGCTGCTGTCTCTGCTACTGCTGCTGCTGCTGCTACTGCTGCTGCTACTGCTGCTGCTGTCTCTGCTACTGCTGCTGCTGCTGTCTCTGCTACTGCTGCTGTCTCTGCTACTGCTGCTGTCTCTGCTGCTGCTGCTGCTGCTGCTACTTGCTGCTGCTACTGCTGCTGCTGTCTCTGCTACTGCTGCTGCTGTCTCTGCTACTGCTGCTGCTGTCTCTGTTACTGCTGCTGTCTCTGCTACTGCTGCTGTTGCAGCTGCTGCTGTCTCTGCTACTGCTGCTGTTGCAGCTGTTGCTGTCTCTGCTACTGTTGCTGTCTCTGCTACTGCTGCAGTTGCAGCTGTCTCTGCTGCTGCTGCTGTTGCTGCTGCGGCTGTCTCTGCTACTGCTGCTGTCTCTGCTGCTGCTGCTGTCTCTGCTACTGCTGCTGTTTCTGCTACTGCTGCTGTTGCTGCTGCTGTCTCTGCTACTGCTGCTGTCTCTGCTGCTGCTGCTGCTGTTGCTGCTGCTGCTGTCTCTGCTACTGCTGCTGTCTCTGCTACTGCTGCTGTTGCTGTCTCTGCTACTGCTACTGTTTATGCTACTGCTGCTGTCTCTGCTACTGCTGCTGTTGCAGCTGCTGCTGTCTCTGCTACTGCTGCTGTTGCTGCTGTTTCTGCTACTGCTGCTGTTGCAGCTGCTGCTATCTCTGCTGCTGCTGTTGCTGCTGCTGCTGTCTCTGCTACTGCTGCTGTTGCTGCTGCTGCTGTCTCTGCTACTGCTGCTGTCTCTGCTGCTGCTGCTGTGTCTGCTACTGCTGCTGTCTCTGCTGCTGCTGTCTCTGCTACTGCTACTGTCTCTGCTACTGCTGCTTTCTCTGCTGCTGCTGTTTCTGCTGCTGTCTCTGCTACTGCTGCTGCTGCTTCTGCTGCTGTTTCTGCTGCTGTTGTTGTTGCTGCTACTGCAGCTGTTGTTGATGCTGCTTCTGCTGCTGTTTCTGCTGCTGTTGTTGTTGCTGCTACTGTTGCTGTTGTTGCTCCTGCTGGTGCTGCTTCCGTTGCTGTTGCAGCTGTTTCTGCTTCTGATGCTGCTGTTGCTGCTGTTGCTGCTTCTGCTGCCGATGTTGCTGTTGCTGCTGCTGTTGCTGCTGCTGCTTAATCAGAGACAGTTTGTGGAGTTTTTGCCATTCCTCCTTCTCTTTTTCCTCCGTCTAAGGCAGGGGTCGGCAACCAAAATAACAAGAAGAGCCATTTCTTTCCAATTCGGTACAAAATTCAGTATTTCAAGAGCCGCAATGCATCTGAGTACATACTGTACATACGTACTCATCGTCAAGAAGCAGCCTGTAAAGAGCCGCATGCGGCTCCGGAGCCGCATGCGGCTCCGGAGCCGCAGGTTGCCGACCCCTGGTCTAAGGAGTTCAGAATACAGTGGTGTAGCTTGTGTGGCCTTCGTGTGTCTCCACGAGACTCTACGGATCTTAATGAGTCTCTATGTGTCTCCATGAGTCTTTGTGTGCCTCCATGGATTTCCATGAGACTCTGGATCTCTCTGAGTCTCTATGTGTCTCCATGTGTCTCCATGTGTCTCCATGAGTCTCGATGTGTCTCCATGAGTCTCTATAGATTTATCTGAGTCTCTGTGTCTCCATTCGTCTCTATGGATCTCTCTGACTCTCTGTCTCCATGAGTCTCTATGGATCTCTCGGAGTCTCGATGTGTCTCCATGAGTCTCTATAGATTTATCTGAGTCTCTGTGTCTCCGTGAGTCTATGGATCTCTCTGACTCTCTGTCTCCATGAGTCTCTATTGATCTCTCTGAGTCTCGATGTGTCTCCATGAGTCTCTATAGATTTATCTGAGTCTCTGTGTCTCCATGAGTCTATGGATCTCTCTGACGCTGTGTCTCCATGAGTCTCTTGATCTCTCTGACTCTGTCTCCATGAGTCTCTATGGATTTCTCTGAGTCTCGATGTATCTCCATGAGTCTCTATGGATCTATCTGTGTCTCTGTGTCTCCATGCATCTCTATGGATCTCTCTGAGTCTCTATGCGTCTCCATGAGTCTCTATGGAACTGTCTGAGTGTACTGCCTAGTCTAATTGTTTTGGCTGCATGCCCACCGTTGCACGACTGTGGCAGTGTCTTTAATTTTTCATTCATGAAGGAGATGTGTGCATCCGCCTGGTGCTGGTCTGATGTGGTTGATGGTCACCCCAGTGGTGAATGGGTGGGTAAGTGGATGGGTGAGTGGGTGAATGAGTGGGTGAGTGAGTGGGTGGGTTGGTGAGTGAGTGGGTGGGTTGGTAAGTGAGTGGCATGTCTTTCAGGATGAGGAATCTCAAAGCCAGGAGGTTGCGGTGATGTTTCGGTCTCAAATGAGGTGTTTCTTTTGGATGTCCGTGTTATTCCACTCTGTTCGCCGCGTTCTTCCAGGTCTGGGTGAGATTCTAAGATGGCGACAGCAATCCCAGCTACTATACCAGGCTGGAGCATAGTGACTGACAATGAGTGGATCAGTGATGGTTGTGGTGGTTGCTGTGGTTGTAGTCGTTGTGGTTGTTCCTGCTGTGGTGGTAGGAGTAATTGTGGTGATGGTTGTGGTTGCTGTGGTTGCAGCGGTGGTGGTTGCTATGATTGTGGTTGCTATGATGATGGTTGCTATGGTGATGGTGGTGCAGGGTCCTCCCGTGCCTGCAGCCCCTCATGTTCTCCTCGCTCGCCTCCTTCCTCCTCGGCTTCATCCTCTGGAACCTCGACAACAACTTCTGCCCCACGTGGAGGTTAGGGGTCACCGGGTCACGACGGTCTTGGGGTCACGAGATGTTAACTACCTCGCCTGGTATGCAGAAGATTGTGGGTTCGATCCCGACTCTGACGCCTCTGTATATCGGGAGTTTGTATGCTGTTCTCTCTCTCTCACCGTGGTCGCGTGGATTTTTCTCCGGGCCCTCCGGTTGTCCCCTCCACATGTATAATCAACATCACCACACGTATAGAGTATTTGGCTGATGCTATAAATGTCCACGTGGTAAAATAAAAACATAGTTTAGTTGAGGGTGACGGGTTGCTAAGTTACAGCTCACAGGGTCCGCACAGAGGTCAGACTGACATGGGGAATATTGAAGATGACGCTGATGTTGATGATGTGGGCGATGGGATACAGGTGATGGTGGTTGTTGATTGTTGATGTCTTAATCTTTGGAAGAACGTAATCATCCAGGCTATGCGATAACTCCTCTGGCCGCTATGGGCAGGAATTCCACACAACTCTCTCATTGTTCTCTACCCCAATTCCCCCCCCCTCTCTATTTAAGGCCTCGACACAGAGGCGTTGTCTTTCTGTTTGTCTATGTGTGTGTCTCTCTCTGTCTCTGGGTGTGTCTCTCTCTGTGTCTCTCTCTGCTTGTGTCTATGTGTCTCCGTGTCTGTGTTTTGTCTCTCAAATTTAGCAATCTTTGGAAGAACGTAATCAGTCAGATAGGGTGTTGACTGTTGTGTTAGCCGACTCTGTGTTGTATTGCATTATATTTCTAAGTTTACTTCATTCTTACCTGATGATGGTTGCTTGTGTTGCAATCGAAACGTCGTATTCCATTATTATTTAATTTATTTTCTTTCTACGTGACTTGCCCAAAATAACCAAAGAGTAATTCCTGCAGTCACGAGAGCTTCGAATCTAGTTTGAAACGTCGTGATTTATTTTATTTTATACCTACGTGACTTTACTGAAAGAACCAAAGAGTATAGTTTGAGCTTTTATTTGGCCGGATAGAGGGGGCTGAACAGGCGCAGCACGGGCTAGAGAAGAGATGGAGTGATGTGGTACAGGAGGACGTGAAGCTGAGTGGACTTGTCGATGACTGGGACCAGCGGTGTCAAGATCGGCCTCTGTGGAGGAGGCTCGTGAAGGACGCTACTGGGCAGTTAGAGGCAACGGAGGGAAGAGCAGAGCGCTTTGCGGTTAAAACACAGCAAGTTGGCACAGTAGGGGGCACAGGTGGTGGTGCATCTGCAGGTCGTCTCAGTCAGTCGACCCATGCAAACCTGCAGGGTCTGTCCGGTGACCTGCCAACGGGCATTTGATACTTCATGTGGCCTTAAAGTGCACTTAGCATGGCACAAGCGCCATTGTGACATCACCGCTACCTAGTGACGAATGGCTGTTGTGTGCATGACGAGGTGAGTGACGAGGTGAGTGTGATGAGGTGAGTGACGAGGTGAGTGTGACGAGGTGTGCAGGAGGGTGAGGGTCTCCATGCTGCCCACGTCTCTGGGCGCCGTGTCGCAGCTCCACGCATGGTGGCACCTCCTGTCGGGCCTCGGCTCGTACCTGCACATCCTGTTCAGGTGGCGTCACCATCACCAACATCACCGCAGCCATCGGCAACATCACCGTCACCAACATTGTAATCACGATCACCATCGCCAACATCACGGTCACCAACATTATAATCATCATCGCCAACATAATCAAAATCACCAAACGCATCATCGCTAACATCCTCACCATCATCAATATCCCCAACATTATCAACATCATCATCAACAGCCACGATTCGACACTTAAGTGTCAGTGACATCACCACGGCGCCTGTGCCAGGCCAGGTGCACGTTGAGGCCACGTTAAGTGTCGAAGACTCGCTGACAGGAGGTCATGGGACAGATCCAGCAGGTGCCATGGGTTGACTGACCGAGATGGCTGGCAGATGCACCATCTGTGCCCCCTACTGTGCCAACTTCCTGAAATTTTTCCGCCTGACTCTCGGATCATTGTTGTGAGTGTCACTCCTCTGCCCTCTGTTGTTGTTGGAGGGCGACTGCCTCCAAATGCCCAGTAGCGTCCTTCATGAGTCTTCTCCACAGAGGCCGATGTTGACATCGCTGATACCAGTCTTTGGCAAGTCCACGCAACTCCACATCCTCCCATACCGCATCAACCCATCTCTTCTCCAGCCCGTGCCATGCCCGTTTAGCCCTCTCTCTCCGGCCAAACAGAATCCACTTGGGCATGCGGTGGCTGGACATGCGGGCTACATGACCCACTCAACTCAGTCTTGCCTGCTGAAGGAGCGCACTGATGGGACTGTGTCCAGATATTTCAAGAATGTGTGAGCTCCTCACACAATTTAGCCTGGTTAAACCCAGGGTGGGTTGTAGGTAGGCCAGCCTGAATGTTTCTAACCAGCGCCGATGTTCCATTAGAGGAGGGGTCCACGTTTCACAAGCATAGAAAAGAGAGGGAATTACTGTGGCTGAAAAGACCCGAAGCTGACAGGCCAGGTAAATTCCACGCAGCTTTATGCAGCCGAGGAAAAGACAATGCCACCTGACTGATTCGGAGTGAGACCTCTGCTGTGAAATTGGAGCTGGTCATAAGTACATTGCCCAGGTATGCAAAACGCTCCACTCTATACAAACCTGCTCCATCACCAATGGCGAGTTGAGGGGATGGAGCGTTTGACGGTACAAAATACCCATGCAGGTGCTTAGTTTTGGTGGTGCAGATGGTAAGACCTCACCTCTTAGTGGCACACTCTGGATTTAGCAGCAGCACCTACAACTTCTCCTCTTAGTGAGCAGCATTCACCAGACCATCAGCAAGCCTCTCCACAGCGTGCCTGGCAAGGCGATTTTGAATAATCCTTGCCAGAACATTTCCCTACACACTGAGGAGAGAGATGTCCCGGTAGTTGTTACAATCAAGGGCACCCTTCCAATTCTGTGGAACCCATCCTATGGTCTACACAATTGTGCACACACATGCCACCTTCCCTCAGCATTTCGCTTGGGAGATCCTCTCTGCCCGGCACTTTTCCTGGTCTCAAACTCTGGATCGTCTCTTGTGCTTCCTCGACAGATGGTATCTCAGCCAAACACTCAGAAGGGGTGGCTACTTCTGCCAATATTTGAGGCACAGCAGCCCCAGCAGGGTCGTCCCCACCTTGCCCCATTTTATTGTCTTTGCTGAGGGAATTATCCTCGACAGACCTGATAGAAATGCTCTGCAAACTTGCATTTAGTTCCTGGGGGTCAGAGATCAGATTATCGTTCTTTCCGTTAAGGATGGTGATAGGTGAGGTACTGCAAGTATCTTTTTGGATGGATTTAAAGATGGATTTGTGATCGCGGGCTACTGAGGCAGACTCCATCTCCTCAGCAATCCGCAACCACCACCCATTCTTGCAGCGCCGCACGGCTCTCCGAACCTCCGAGCGAAGGCTGTGGTAAGCCTCCTCATTCTTCGACGTGGGATGCTGTAGATGCTGGAAGTGTGGGTCTATCGTTTTTTCTCAACTAGCCAGAGCACCTCCTTCAGCCAAGGCATCTAGGGAGGTCTGGACCGCATACCCAATGCAACCATTGCAGCTGCATGAGCCACAGCCCATTTCCCCTCAGCATCAGGAGGGGGAACGATGCCAACCCCAGCTGGAAGCAATGTTGAAATTCCTGCTTGAAATTATCCTCAGCTAGCTCAGACCAGACTCATGTGAGTTTTAATGGAGCCCTACATGGACACCTACCACCGGAGTGGAAGCATGTCAGGTGCATCTTAAAGATGACAAGCTGATAGTCAGTGGGCAGATCAGCTCCATGGTTAGTCCTGGTGTCAAGGACATGGGCCGCATCCACTGGGCCATCCATTATATAGTCCAGCAGATGTTCTTGCTTGGAACCCGCGTGCATCCATGATATTTAGTGGATGCGCCGATGCCTGAACATCGTGTTGATAATTACAAGGCCATGGGCTGCACAGAAGTCAAGCAGCCTTCTACCGTTATTAATGAGCTCATCTGGCCCATGCCTTCCAATCACTCCGATCCAGGTGTCTGCGTCATGACCCACTTAGGCATTAAAGTCACCCAACAGGATGACTCTCAATTTAGCTAGCACTTGGGACCGGAGGTTAAAGAAGGCATCTGACTCATTGGCCTTGCCTGCATCCCTCCACTGATGTTAATCTTCGGTGGGGGCGTAAGCAACTACCACCACCATTCCTCACCTTGTTGAGGCCCACAGCAACCTGGGACCTCACCGCCATGCTCACGCACCCCCTTCATTCGTTTGTTCAAAACAAGAGCCCACACCATGTTGTTTGGTAGTTTCCTTCACCGAGTGGAGAACTGTTCACCGCTCATGAAGACTGGATCCAGAACTGGTCCACCGGACCTCCTGTGTTTCACAGAGATCCCAGGTGGTACCGGTCCATCTCCCGACAGAGGAGTGACAGTCTCGCCTTCAAAACGAGAGTCTGAACATTCCACGTAGCCAATGGCAGTGTGTTCTCCTGTTCCTGGAGGGAACCCCGAGGTGGGGGTGGGGTTCAGTCTGGCTCTGCCAGATGGAGTTTGGCCAGAAGGCATCATAAAGGCCTGTCCCCATGGGGCCTCCAGCACGAGCTTATTGCAGTGTTTCCATCGTGATGCTTGGTAGAAGTACCAGGTGCAGGGGGTTACCAGCCCCACGCACACCCATTTTACTGCCAAATGTCACCAACATCGTCACCTTCACCAGCATCAATACCATCACCAGCAAAGAGGCCTCAGACGCGTCCTCTTGTCTCTCCCCCCTCCATTGTGTTTGCAGCCTCAGCGCGCGTCTCTTGTATCTGAAGAAACGACCCCGAGTCACGGTGAGGGTACTCAGTGGCTCCATGCTCCCGTGTAGGACGAGGGGACGGTGGGTGGGTGGATAAATGGGTGGGTGAGGGGATACGTGGATGGGTTAGTGGATGGGTGGGTGCCTATTCAAGGCATCGCGTGTTGATTAACTGTGGTTTGCCCATCTGGAAATATGCACTGAATATTTTCAGATTCCTACAATCCATTGTGATTTCTATAACAATAAACCCCCCTCTGGTCATTGCACCTGATAGGCGTGATGACGTCACACCATTGCTCTATTTAAGACCGGAAGCAGGAAGACTTCACAATTCTGGCAAATCGCCTGAAGCTGCTACTTTCAATCACCGGCGAAACATCAAAGTACTCAAATTGTAAATGTTGTCGTGGGTTTACTCTCAAACACCGGTGTGCTGAAGTAGCAACGAATTGACACGTTTTGTTTAAGTGACAAACCTTACTGGTCACGTGGTGGTGGGTTACACAATCTAACCCAAAAACCTTTATTATGAATATTGGTCGCCAAAGCCGACGTGTTAAATTTAGTGTTTATCACCGAGGCTTGCTGAGCCAGACGAAGGCTCCTGTGGGGTTCTGTGTTAATCTGAGGCTCACCGAGCCAGGTTCAGGCTAGCGTAGGGTGCGGTGTTAATCACCGAGGCTCACTGAGGCTCACCGAGCCAGGCTCAGGCTGCTACAACATGAATACACGTCTCTCTGCAGTGGCTGCTGGGGTTCTGGCCGGTGCTGTGCGTGGATGGGAAGATCGATGCCTGAAACCCCCCACCCCCCACCCATGGAGTGGAGCGATCCACGTGCCTGGGACAAGACTTTGCTCGGGAGAAACCAACTCGGCGCCTGGGGGGTGGCAGCGGTGGGAATAAAACTACACTATTTTATTTTTTAGGTAAAGCCCACTGAGATATGTCGATCTTTTTCAGAAGTCATCTGGTTATCACAAACGATCGCTCAATGAAATAGCTTATCGCGTGGAAATTTATAGCAGCAGCCAAACACTCTAAACGCATGACCTTGATTCTAAATGTGGAAGGAAAAACCAGAGGACCCGGAGAAAAATATACGCGACCTCGGAGAGAGACACAGACTCCAAAAATACACAGCAAGCGTCAGGGTCAGGATCCACGACCTCCTGCAAGCCAGGCGAGGGAGATAACATCTCATCGCCACCGTGAACGCGTGGGATCTGCAAATTAATCAATTGGAGGCCACGCTCAATCCACTGCTGAATGAGGGCCACCTCGTGCCCGTGTCCGGCCACGGAGGGTTTTCCCCTCTCACCATACGCTGGGTGTGGTGTGCCTGGTGGGTAGTGAAGTGTCACGATGGGTGTGGAGTGAAGTGGCACACTGGGTGTGGTGTGCTGGGTACGGAGTGAAGTGTCACGCTAGGTGTGGTGTGCCTGGTGGGTAGTGAAGTGTCACACTGGGTGTGGTGTGCTGGGTACGGAGTGAAGTGTCACACTGGGTGTGGTGTGCCTGGTGGGTAGTGAAGTGGCACACTGGGTGTGGTGTGCTGGGTACGGAGTGAAGTGTCACGGTGGGTGTGGTGTGCCGAGTGGGTAGTGAAGTAGCATGCTGGGTGTGGAGTGAAGTGGCACGTTGGGTACTGAGTGAAGTGGCACACTGGGTGTGGTGTGCTGGGTACGGAGTGAAGTGTCACGCTAGGTGTGGTGTGCCTGGTGGGTAGTGGAGTGGCACACTGGGTGTGGTGTGCTGGGTACGGAGTGAAGTGTCACGCTAGGTGTGGTGTGCTGGGTACGGAGTGAAGTGTCACGCTAGGTGTGGTGTGCCTGGTGGGTAGTGAAGTGTCACGCTGGGTGTGGTGTGCTGGGTACGTTGTGAAGTGTCACGCTGGGTGTGGTGTCTGGTGGGTAGTGAAGTGGCACGCTGGGTGTGATGCCTCGTCCACTAGCCCTGGCCGACAGCCATTATGAACCTCCTGTGCCTGGCACAATAACTCGGTCCTGGGCCTTCCGTAGGTCAACTCAGCCTTGACCCAGTAACGTGGAGGCGGCCCCGGCCGTGGTTCGGTGTTGCTGACCAACGCCACAATAAACGGATTCCCCGAATCGCGCCGCTGTTGCTCGTCATTCACGTGAATAACACGACGGCTACGAAAGCTCTCGACAAGTCTCAGTTGACCAGCTAAGGCGGCACCGCTGAGTTACTACAACGCGGCTCTTGTTGAGAAGCGACCTCGCCATCACAAACGATAGCCCAAGGAAGTGGATTATCATCACGTGTAAATTTATCGAAGCAGCCAAATGCATAGACACAGACACACAGAGACGCATAGCTATATACTCAACTAAAATGTAACTGCTGTATTTTATTTGACCAGGTAAGGCCCCTACTGAGCTGCTTGTGTAGCTCTTTTTCAGAAGCGACCTGGGCATCACAAACGATAGCAGCTGAACGAACTGGATTATCACCATCATCATGCACGTGGGAATCTACAGCAGCAGCCAAATGCTCTGAACGCGTGAGCTTGAGTCTAAATGAGAGTTAAAACCGGAGGAAGGGAGAAATGCAGAATCCAAATATACATCAGCAGGCATAGTCAGGGTTGGGATCGAACCCACGACCTCCTGTATACCAGGCGATGGCATTAACATCTCCTAGCCACCACGTTGCTCACGATTCACAGTCACGATTCACATCGTCGCTGTTTATTCCAGGGTAGGTGGGGAGGGGAGTGGTGGTGGTGCTGGTGGGTTGTCCACTGCTGGATGGTTATGCTGGGCGTGGTGCAAAGAAGGGAAGCCCGCGGATGAAGCTGTCCAGCTTCTGCTTGAAGAGTTCACTCCTCACCACGTCCCGCTGGCTCACCAGAGGGTTCCTCACCACCAGCTCCACCACAAACTACTCACCACCACCACACACACAATACAAAACTACTCACCACCACACACTACTCACCACCACCACCTACACACAATACAAAACTACTCACCACCACACACTATTCACCACCACCACACACTACAAACTACTCACCACCACCACCTACACACTACAAACTACTCACCACCACCACCTACACACAATACAAAACTACTCACCACCACACACCAAACTACTCACCACCACCACAAACTACTTGCCACCACCACCACACACTACAAACTACTCACGACCACCTATGATGGCCGGCACGGCACACAAAGGGGGTGGGTGGCCAGCACCGACCACCTTTGTCTCCCCAGTGGCGATGCTTACACACCACATCAGGTACTCATTTGAGGCCGAGTCGACCTAGGGAAGGCCCAGGACCAGTTCAGATAATTATCACTGGTGTTGGCTGTTAGTGGGAATCGAACTCGGGCCGCCGGATTTGTAGCGCTAACTGCTGCACTACCGCTCATCCTACTAGACTACTCACCACAATTTCGATTTACCTGAAGACGGCTGCTTGCGTTGTAGCCGAAACGTCGTGAGAATTATTTAATTTTATTATGTTTTATTTTTATTATTTTATTACTTCCCTTCTACGTGACTTTACCGAAAGAACCAAGAAGATACCACAAGGTGCACTTTGAGGCCTAGTTAAGTGTCGAAGGCTCACTGCTGCCAGGAGATAATGGCATAGTCCCAGCAGGTGCTGCCGTGGGTTGACTGACAGATGACTGGCTGATGCACCACCTGTGCCCCCCCATACTGTGCCAACTTGCTACGTTCTATCCGCCCGGCGCTCCGCTCTTTGTGAGCGTCGCTCCTCTGCCCTCCGTTGCTGCTGGAGGGCGACCGCCTCCAACTGCCCAGTAGCAGCGTCCTTCACGAGCCTCCTCCACAGAGGCTGATCATGACACCGCCGGTACCAGTAATTAGCAAGTCCACTCAGCTCCACATCCTCTTGTACCACATCACTCCATCTCTTCTCTAGCCCGTGCCGCGCCCGTTTATCTCCCTCGATCCGGCCGAACAGAAGCTGCTTGGGCACCCGGTGGCTGGACATGCGGGCTACATGATCCAGCCAACGTAGCCTTGCTTGCCGGAGTAGCTCACTGATGGGACTGTGTCCTGGTTCAACCCAGGATGAATAGTAGGCAGGGCCAGTCTGAATATTTCTAACTGGCGCAGATGTTCCAAGCACAGGGACGGGAGGGCATGACTGTGGCCGAGAAGACCCAAACTTCGTGTGGAGCGACAGACCAGGTAGCTTCCACATGGCGTTACGCAGCCGATGTAATGCCACCCGACTGATTTGGATTAGGAACTCTGATGGGACTGTGTCCCGATCTTTTACAAATCTGAACTCACACGGTAATCCATCCTGGGTTTAACCCAGGCTGATATCGTAGGCAGGGTCGGCCTCAATGTTTCAAACTGGAGCTGATGTTCCATTCGGGGAATCTGGTGGTGTAAACGGTGGTGAATCTGGCGGTGTAAACGGTGGTGAATCTGGTGGTGTAAACGGTGGTGAATCTGGTGGTGTAAGTGGTGGTGAATCTGGTGGAGTAAACGATGGTGAATCTGGTGGTGTAAACGGTGGTGAATCTGGTGGTGTAAACAATGGTGAATCTGGCGGTGTAAGCGGTGGTGAATCTGGCGGTGTAAGCGGTGGTAAATCTGGCGGTGTAAACGATGGTAAATCTGGTGGTGTAAACGATGGTGAATCTTGTGGTGTAAGCGGTGGTGAATCTGGTGGTGTAAGCTAAAGTGAATCTGGCGGTATAAATGGGGGTGAATCTGGCGGTGTAAGCGATGGTGAATCTGGCGGTGTAAACGATGGTAAATCTGGTGGTGTAAACGATGGTGAATCTTGTGGTGTAAGCGGTGGTGAATCTGGTGGTGTAAGCTAAAGTGAATCTGGCGGTATAAATGGTGGTGAATCTGGCGGTGTAAGCGATGGTGAATCTGGTGGTGTAAGTGATGGTGAATCTGGTGGTGTAAGCTAAAGTGAATCTGGCAGTATAAATGGTGGTGAATCTGGCGGTGTAAGCGGTGGTGAATCTGGCGGTGTAAGCGGTGGTGAATCTGGTGGTGTAAACGGTGGTGAATCTGGTGGTGTAAGTGATGGTGAATCTGGTGGTGTAAACGGTGGTGAATCTGGTGGTGTAAACGGTGGTGAATCTGGTGGTGTAAACGGTGGTGAATCTGGTGGTGTAAACGGTGGTGAATCTTGTGGTGTAAGCGGTGGTGAATCTGGTGGTGTAAGCGGTGGTGAATCTGGTGGTGTAAGCGGTGGTGAATCTGGCGGTGTAAACAGTGGTGAATCTGGCGGTGTAAGCGGTGGTGAATCTGGCGGTGTAAGCGGTGGTAAATCTGGTGGTGTAAGTGGTGGTGAATCTGGTGGTGTAAACGATGGTGAATCTGGTGGTGTAAACGGTGGTGAATCTGGCGGTGTAAGCGGTGGTGAATCTGGCGGTGTAAGCGGTGGTGAATCTGGTGGTGTAAACGATGGTGAATCTTGTGGTGTAAGCGGTGGTGAATCTGGTGGTGTAAGCGGTGGTGAATCTGGCGGTGTAAACGGTGGTGAATTTGGCGGTGTAAGCGGTGGTGAATCTGGCGGTGTAAGCGGTGGTAAATCTGGTGGTGTAAACGGTGGTGAATCTGGTGGTGTAAGTGGTGGTGAATCTGGCGGTGTAAGCGGTGGTGAATCTGGCGGTGTAAACGGTGGTGAATCTGGCGGTGTAAGCGGTGGTGAATCTGGCAGTGTAAGCGGTGGTGAATATGGCGGTGTAAGCGGTGGTGAATCTGGTGGTGTAAGCGGTGGTGAATATGGCGGTGTAAGCGGTGGTGAATCTGGCGGTGTAAGCGGTGGTGAATCTGGCGGTGTAAGCGGTGGTGAATATGGCGGTGTAAACGGTGGTAAATCTGGTGGTGTAAACGGTGGTGAATCTGGCGGTGTAAGCGGTGGTGAATATGGCGGTTTAAGCGGTGGTGAATCTGCGGTGTAAACGGTGGTGAATCTGGTGGTGTAAGCGGTGGTGAATCTGGTGGTGTAAACGGTGGTGAATCTGGCGGTGTAAACGATGGTGAATCTGGTGGTGTAAACGGTGGTGAATCTGGTGGTGTAAGCGGTGGTGAATCTGGCGGTGTAAACGGTGGTGAATCTGGCGGTGTAAGCGGTGGTGAATTTGTGGTGTAAACGGTGGTGAATCTAGCGGTGTAAACGGTGGTGAATCTGGTGGTGTAAACGGTGGTGAATCTGGTGGTGTAAACGGTGGTGAATCTGGCGGTGTAAGCGGTGGTGAATCTGGTGGTGTAAGTGGTGGTGAATCTGGTGGTGTAAGCGGTGGTGAATCTGGCGGTGTAAGCGGTGGTGAATCTGGTGGTGTAAACGGTGGTGAATCTGGTGGTGTAAGCGGTGGTGAATCTGGTGGTGTAAACGGTGGTGAATCTGGTGGTGTAAGCGGTGGTGAATCTGGCGGTGTAAGCGGTGGTGAATCTGGTGGTGTAAGCGGTGGTGAATCTGGTGGTGTAAGTGGTGGTGAATCTGGTGATGTACACGGTGGTGAATCTGGTGGTGTAAACGGTGGTGAATTTGGTGGTGTAAGTGGTGGTGAATCTGGTGGTGTAAGTGGTGGTGAATCTGGTGGTGTAAGTGGTGGTGAATCTGGTGGTGTAAGCGGTGATGAATCTGGCGGTGTAAACGGTGGTGAATCTGGTGGTGTAAGCGGTGGTGAATCTGGTGGTGTAAGCGGTGGTGAATCTGGTGGTGTAAGCGGTGGTGAATCTGGTGGTGTAAGCGGTGGTGAATCTGGTGGTGTAAGCGGTGGTGAATTTGGCGGTGTAAGCGGTGGTGAATCTGGTGGTGTAAGCGGTGGTGAATCTGGTGGTGTAAGCGGTGGTGAATCTGGCGGTGTAAGCGATGGTGAATCTGGTGGTGTAAACGGTGGTGAATCTGGCGGTGTGGCGATGGTGAATCTGGCGGTGTAAGTGGTAGTGAATCTGGTGGTGTAAGCGGTGGTGAATCTGGTGGTGTAAGCGGTGGTGAATCTGGTGGTGTAAGCGGTGGTGAATTTGGCGGTGTAAGCGGTGGTGAATCTGGTGGTGTAAGCGGTGGTGAATCTGGCGGTGTAAGCGGTGGTGAATCTGGCGGTGTAAGCGATGGTGAATCTGGTGGTGTAAACGGTGGTGAATCTGGCGGTGTGGCGATGGTGAATCTGGCGGTGTAAGTGGTAGTGAATCTGGCGGTGTAAGCGGTGGTGAATCTGGTGGTGTAAGCGGTAGTGAATCTGGCGGTGTAAGCGGTGGTGAATCTGGTGGTGGAAACGGTGGTGAATCTGGTGGTGTAAGCGGTGGTGAATTTGGTGGTGTAAGCGGTAGTGAATCTGGCGGTGTAAGCGGTAGTGAATCTGGCGGTGTAAGCGGTGGTGAATCTGGTGGTGTAAGCGGTAGTGAATCTGGCGGTGTAAGCGGTGGTGAATCTGGTGGTGTAAACGGTGGTGAATCTGGTGGTGTAAGCGGTGGTGAATCTGGTGGTGTAAGCGGTAGTGAATCTGGCGGTGTAAGCGGTAGTGAATCTGGCGGTGTAAGCGGTGGTGAATCTGGTGGTGTAAGCGGTAGTGAATCTGGCGGTGTAAGCGGTGGTGAATCTGGTGGTGTAAACGGTGGTGAATCTGGTGGTGTAAGCGGTGGTGAATCTGGTGGTGTAAGCGGTAGTGAATCTGGCGGTGTAAGCGGTAGTGAATCTGGCGGTGTAAGCGGTGGTGAATCTGGTGGTGTAAACGGTGGTGAATCTGGTGGTGTAAGCGGTGGTGAATCTGGTGGTGTAAGCGGTGGTGAATCTGGTGGTGTAAGCGGTGATGAATCTGGCGGTGTAAACGGTGGTGAATCTGGTGGTGTAAGCGGTGGTGAATCTGGTGGTGTAAACGGTGGTGAATCTGGCGGTGTAAGCAGTGGTGAATCTGGCGGTG